TCCCCAACCTGAACCTCGGGCCAGGCAGGGAACGCAGGGAGGACTTGAACCACCCGGACTGGGCGGACCCGCTCCCGCCACCAGCAGTGGACATCACGGACGCAGGACCGGACGGCCGCAAGGGCCAAACCGAAAGGGAAGGGGAGGCATCCCCCACGGTACCCTCAGGGAGCGCGCAATCGACTCGCTCATGGTCATTGGTGGAACAGGGACCCGAGGACACACCAGTGAAGGCCAAGGACCTGTTTCCAGCCACCCCGGACCTCCCCCTTCGGGTGGTGGCGGCGGTCAAACGCACAGGCAACGCCGGCCAGTCCAGAATCCACCTGCTGAATGTCGAAGGCACGGCGGTGGGGTGCGGGTGGCGACCGGCGGCCGCTAAGATGCAGGAGCTCTCTGTGCTGGATTACATGACGGAGCAGGAGGCCTATGGCAAGTGCGAACGTTGCTTCAAGAGGTATGGCTTCCCGGCGGACTGGGCACTGGAGCCTGCGGAGGTCCCCACACTGCAGGAGGACTCGGACTCCTCAGCGGACTCGGGCTCTGAAACGGATGACTGTGTAGACACCCAGTCGGAGACCGAGCTGGTGGCCCTACCTTTGGCAGCCTAGGTGCCCCCGGCCCTGGCGACCGAGGGGAAGGGAGGCCCGGGACAGGGCCCTGGCCCGGGCCCTCAGCACAGACTGGCATCCTTCGGAAATGGCGGGTGTGCCAGACTGTCCTTCGGAAATGGCGCTATCAGTCTGCACACCCGTTCTTCAGTTTTTGAGATTTGAGGTGGGTGGCCCATGGGGCCCACCCAGCCTTTGACATCTGACAGGGGAAGATGAGTCCCTGGCACCAACACACTGCTCGGATAAAAGAGTTATCGCGTGCTTGTGTGTGGTGCCGTTTGGTTAGCTTGCATACACTTTGTTAATGTTGAAACGCATGTGGAAACATGAACTGTGTTTGCAATGCTTGACCATAATGGCGCATGCCATTTTGGCTCAAGCTTTGCCCTGGGTTCTCTGAACCCAATTTGTGTGAAAAACCCAGCCACCCACACCAAGGTCGGAGTCATGGCGGCCAAACCACCGGAGGAGGTCCCAGCGGAGTTCAAGGAGGACGTGGCAAAGTTGCACAAGCCACTGGCGGCCATCCTGGTGGGAAAGGAAATCCCCTGGGCCACCCAGGCGGCTCTGGGCGCATCGGGATACGTCACGGTGGAAGACCTGGCGGATCGCTGGGACACCCCGGCGGCGGCTAGGGAGAATGGTCCCTGGGACCTGGGATTCCGGGATGGGGAGAACGGGTTCAACGCCCAGACCTCGGCCTTCACGGCGATGCGCCTCCTTCAGGCAGTCCGGGTGGCAGCCAGCTTGATCCGGGGGGGCAACCAAGGTGATCACCCGGCGGGCCAGGCGGGCCCGACAAAGGCGCCCTTGGAGGTCCTGTGTGACAGGCGCCAGCTGGAAGATGCTTATGTGGCCACGCATGGGACCCCGAAGGTTGGAGTTCCAAGGGAGTGATGGCTACCTCAAGAAGCAATGGCGCATGATTGCCAAGGGCGAGCTGGGCTACATCCCGGCAAAACACATCGTGAGCGCGCTCCCGGAAGAAGGAGAACGCCCCTCATCCACCCACAAGAAGATCACGGTGGACGGCTGGGACAGGGAGGATGAAGAAGAGGTGAGGAGCCACCCTACATCTCGGCGCCAGCTGGAACGATTGCACCTAACCTTCAGGACGACGCTCCTGATGTGCACGGCAGCACTGCCACAGTTTGGCAACCTGAGACCCAGCAGGGCACTCCAGAAGGGCGGAAGCACCCCTTTCCCCCGCACCCACCGAGGCAGTGGGAAGAGCCCCCAGAGAGACCCAGAGGTGAGGATCCGCCCAGCAAGGGGCGTTCCAAGGGCGGGCAGAACCGCCAGGGCAAGCAGCAAGCCCAGGGACTGATGACCGGAGGGTCAGACAAAGGACACACGGAATCCCTAAAAGGGCAAGCCCCACCTTCCCATGGATGCAGGACACCCCGGAAAGACTGAGGCTCAGACTGAGGTGGACGCCACGTCCGGTGCCGGAGTCGTCAAAGCCGTCCCTCATCCTGCTGTACGCTGGGAAGGATGATGCGGGGGCCCTGGATGCTTACCTCCATGCCTACAACCCGGCCTTCTCGGAGTACATTTGGGCAGTGGACATCAGGCGAAAGAGTGGAGATCTTGGACAGGACATGCTGGGAGAGGAGCCTTACTCTACGATGTGCTCCATGGCCATGGCGGGCAAGGTCGCCTTTGTGGGGGGCGGCCCCAACTGCAGGACGTGGAGCATTCTCAGATGGTTCCCCAAACCGGGGGGCCCGCCGCCGGTGAGGGGCAGAGCGGAGAGACCCTGTGGGGCTTAGAGGACCTGGAGCCCCGGGTAATGGAGGACACGGACAACGACAGCGTGCTCATGCTCCGACAGATGTACCTGACCTCGCTGGCCTACCAGCCGATCACGCACGACCCAAATCTCTCCGACCAGCGCCCCCTAAGGGATGGGGGTGGGAAGCCCTCACTGGGACGGCTGGCCCCGTGGACTCGGCCACTGTCCAAAGCAGCAGTGATGGGGGCCAAGATCTGTGTCAAGCTCCAGGAGTCGCTCTCGTTGGGGGACGGGTCACATCCCTTCCCGGAGGACCTGCTGGAGGATATCAGGGAGATCCTGGCGCCGGGGGCAGGCCGACCAGCTGAAGGCCACCTGGACATCTTGCACAGCGTGGCGCTGGACATTCAGGACCCCGACCACCAGTTTCCTCAATATCTGGAACAAGGGGTTTCCTGGGGGTCACGGACCCACCCCTGGCCTCGCCGGGCATCTGGCCACTCAAGAAGGAGCTGAAAGGGGAGGAGCCAGAGTTCCAGGAACTCCCCCATCCCACGGGCTACCCTTCGGCGGATCACTTCAGTGAGCTCATCCGTGGCACATTCCTGGAGGAGGTCCCCGTGGGCATGGTGAGGGCCCCTTCACCAAGGTGGAGGCAGCATCGCGCTGTGGCTGCGAGATTGAGGACCTTTGTCCCGGCCCCCTAGCGGGCATCGACGAAGGGGACAAGATCCGCACCATCTACGATGGCTCGGTGGGCGGGGCCAATGACACCATCAGGAACCAGACGGTGGAAAGGACGACGGCTCCGACGGTGCTGGATGGGGTACAAGCTCTTCATTGGCTACATGCGGCAGCTGCGGAGGGACCTCCCTCTCAGGGTGCCCCTGGCCCCGAGAGGGAGGTCGTCAAACCTCCACCTGGGGGCTGGCTATGGCCGGAGCCGGGCACCAGGTGGGTGCTGCTCAAGGCGGACGTCACCAAGGCCCACCGGAGAGTGAAGGTCCTCAGGAAGGACTGGCGGTTCCAGGTGGCCTCGCTGGGGGAAGAATGGTGGGTGAACAAGGTAGGCACATACGGCATGGCCAGTGCCCAATCCTACTGGGGACGCCTGGCAGCCCTTCTACTCAGGGTCCTCTACGCACTTTTCCCTCAAGTGGATTGGAACTTCGGCTTTGTGGATGACTTCCTGTGGCTGCTTCGTAGCGAGGGGGCAGTAAACTTGGCGGTGGCGCTGTTGGCAACACTCCTGGCCTTGGGCACCCCGCTTAGCTGGAAGAAGACACATTTGGCGGAGGTCAACACGTGGCTGGGCTTCGTGGTCCACCCGAACATCCCGCAGGTTCTCATGGCCGCCAACACACACATCCTGGTGATGGAGGTCTTGCAGACCATGGTGGAAGGGCAGGCGATGCACTCAAAGGACATCGAGAAGGCCCTGGGCCGCATCCAATGGGCAACTGCTGCATGTCCGTTGGCGAAGTCGATGCTTCAGCCACTTTGGGCCTGGAAGATGGCCACCACCACGGTGGGGAAACCCCCCAAGGTGGTCAGGATGCTGGCGTTCATGCTGCGGTTCCTCTTCAACACGCCTGTCGTCCAGTACTCCCCTTACTTGCCGAAGTCCTCTTGGTGGGGTTGCAGCGATGCTAGCGCCTCGGACGAAGGACTGGCATTTGTGGGAGGATGGTGCTCCAACAAAATGGAGCCGGAAAAGAAGGAGGTGTACTGGTTCCACGAGCAGATCCACGTGGAGGAGTATCCTTGGGCATTCAAGAATGGGGATCCCAAGCGGAGGATTGCGGCTTTGGAAATGCTGGGCACGCTCTTCCTCTGTAACATGATCCTCACGCACCAAGGCCCTCTGTCCTCCCGGGTCCGACTCCCGGTGGGCAGTGACAATCAGGGCAACGTCATGGCTATGCTCAACCTTGGATCCAAGAAGCCCTACACCGCGGCGATCCTGATGGAGCTGGTCTTCCTGCTCCACACCCATGGCTGCTCGCTGGCGGCCAACCACGTGCCCCGGGAATTCAACCAGTGGGCTGATGAACTGACCCAGATTTCTCTGGGTTCGACCCTTTGAACAGGGTCCCCAAACAGAAACTCTGCGAGGAGTTCGTTTTTCTCCCGCGTCTCCTGAATGGAGATGCATTTGATCTTAGCGTGGGCCCACCCATGCTCCCGTGACCGGAGCCGGTGGGTGACTCACTTCCCCTGGTGGCAGACCCCCCTGTGGCCTGGGTGCCCCGGGCCCCGGCTCAGGGGCGGGCGGCCCAGCCAGCCGTTGACATCTGACAGGGGAAGATGAGTCCCTGGCACCAACACTTTGCTCGGATAAAAGAGTTATCGCGTGCTTGTGTGGTGCCGTTTGGTTAGCCTGCATACACAAAAGAAAATTAAAAGCAGAACTAAAGCAATTTGGGATCCCTTTATGGGTGCACCTTGTTTTATGTGTTTTTCTTGACTAGTTTTAAATGGTCCAGAACGCGAAAGAGGAGACATCCACAGACCTCCCGGAAAGAGATTCAAATTCAGGGCCCCCATGCAATCAGCCAAACGTGGTTATCAGCTATGGCTCACTTCATGAGTCAACTTCCATGTTCAGTTCAACTAGTTCCGTAGCGCCCTTGTCGTGCTTTCACCAACAGGCGGCCGAGCGCATCGTGGCGGCAGAGGGGTCCAAGGACACGGCCGATGGGTCAAAGACGGTTGTACCCATATGTATGTATGTATCTAATGCAATGTAATGTAATGTAATGTAATGTAATGTAATGTAATATATGTATGTATTGTATGTATGTAATGTATGTAATGTATGTAATGTATGTATGTATGTATGTAATGTAATGTAATGTATGTATGTATGTAATGTAATGTAATGTAATGTAATGTAATGTAATGTAATGCAATGTAATGTAATGTAATGTAATGTAATGTATGTATGTATGTAATCTAATGTATGTATGTATGTATGTATGTATGTATGTATGTATGTATGTATGTATGTATGTATGTAATGTAATGTATGTATGTATGTATGTATGTATGTATGTATGTATGTATGTATGTATGTAATGTATGTAATGTATGTAATGTATGTAATGTATGTAATGTATGTACTGTATGTAATGTATGTATGTATGTAATGTATGTATGTATGTATGTATGTATGTATGTATGTATGTATGTATGTATGTATGTAATGTATGTATGTATGTATGTATGTATGTATGTATGTATGTATGTATGTAATGTACGTACGTACCTATGTATGTATGTATGTAATGTATGTATGTATGTACTGTAATGTATGTATGTAATGTATGTATGTATGTATGTATGTATGTATGTATGTATTGTATTGTATGTATGTATGTATGTATGTATGTATGTATGTATGTATGTATGTATGTATGTGTGTATGTAATGTATGTATATATGTATGTATGTATGTAATGTATGTATGTATGTATGTATGTATGTATGTATGTATGTATGTATGTATGTATGTATGTATGTATGTATGTATGTATGTAAGTGTTTATAAAAAAAATAAATAACAAAATTGTTTTTGTTTTTTGTATGTATGTATGTATGTATGTATGTATGTATGTATGTATGTATGTATGTATGTATGTATGTATGTATGTAATGTATGTATGTATGTCTGTATGTATGTTTGTATGTATGTATGTATGTATGTATGTATGTATGTATGTAATGTATGTATGTATGTATGTATGTATGTATGTATGTATGTATGTATGTATGTATGTATGTATGTATGTATGTATGTATGTATGTATTGTAATGTATGTATGTATGTATGTATGTATGTATGTATGTATGTATGTATGTATGTATGTAATGTAATGTATGTATGTATGTATGTATGTATGTATGTATGTATGTATGTATGTATGTATGTATGTATGTATGATATGTATGTATGTATGTATGTATGTATGTATGTATGTATGTAATGTATGTATGTATGTATGGTATGTAATGTATGTAATGTATGTAATGTATGTATGTATGTATGTATGTAATGTAATGTATGTATGTATGTATGTATGTATGTATGTATGTATGTATGTATGTATGTATGTATGTATGTATGTAATGAATGTATGTATGTCGGTATGTATGTATGTATGTATGTATGTATGTATGTATGTATGTATGTATGTATGTCATGTATGTCATGTATGTATGTATGTATGTATGTATGTATGTATGTATGTATGTATGTATGTATGTATGTATGTATGTATGTATGTATGTATGTATGTATGTATGTATGTATGTAAGTTATGTATGTATGTATGTATGTATGTATGTATGTATGTATGTATGTATGTATGTATGTATGTATGTATGTATGTGTGTATGTTATGTATGTATGTGTGTATGTTATGTATGTAATGTAATGTAATGTAATGTATGTATGTATGTATGTATGTATGTATGTATGTATGTATGTATGTATGTATGTATGTATGTAATGTATGTATGTTTGTATGTATGTATGTATGTATGTATGTATGTATGTATGTATGTATGTATGTATGTATGTATGTATGTATGTATGTATGTATGTTATGTATGTATGTTATGTATGTATGTATGTATGTATGTATGTATGTATGTAATGTATGTATGTATGTATGTATGTATGTATGTATGTATGTATGTATGTATGTATGTATGTATGTCTGTAATGTATGTCTGTAATGTATGTATGTATGTATGTATGTATGTATGTATGTATGTATGTATGTATGTATGTATGTATGTATGTATGTATGTATGTATGTATGTATGTATGTATGTATGTATGTATGTATGTATGTATGTATGTTATGTATGGATGTATGTATGTATGTATGTATGTATGTATGTATGTATGTATGTATGTATGTATGTATGTATGTATGTATGTATGTATGTATGTATGTATGTATGTAATGTCTGTATGTATGTATGTATGTATGTATGTATGTATGTATGTATGTATGTATGTATGTATGTATGTATGTATGTATGTATGTATGTTATGTATGTAATGTAATGTAATGTAATGTAATGTAATGTAATGTAATGTAATGTAATGTAATGTAATGTAATGTATGTATGTATGGAATGTATGTATGTATGTATGTAATGTATGTATGTATGTATGTATGTATGTATGTATGTATGTATGTATGTAATGTATGTATGTATGTATGTATGTATGTATGTATGTAATGTATGTATGTATGTATGTATGTATGTATGTATTTATGTAATGTATGTATGTAATGTATGTAATGTATATATGTATGTATGTATGTATGTATGTATGTATGTATGTATGTATGTAATCGCGCGATGTATTGTATTGTAAACTAGAATGTAATGTAATGATATTTGTAATGTATGTATGTATGTAATGTATGTATGTATGAATGAATGAATGTAATGTAATGTAATGTAATGTAATGTAATGTAATGTAATGTAATGTAATGTAATGTAATGTAATGTAATGTAATGTAATGTAATATAATGTATGTATGTATGTATGTATTTATGTATGTATGTATGTATGTATGTAATGTATGTAATGTATGTAATGTAATGTAATGTAATGTAATGTAATGTAATGTAATGTAATGTAATGTAATGGTATGTATGTATGTATGTATGTATGTATGTATGTATGTAGGTGGTAATGTAAAAATGTGTGAATGTCTGTAATGTATGTAAAGTATTGTTCATGTATGTAAGTCTTGTAAATGTCATGTTAATGTAATGTAATGTAAGGTAATTGTAATATGTATGTATGTCTGGTCTGTAATGTAATGTATTTAAGAACGCTAATCTGCTAGCTAGTTTTGTATCTAATTGTCATGTTAAAGTAAAGTTATGTAATGTATGTAAAGTATGTAATGTATGTAATGTATGTAATGTATGTATGTAGTGTATGTATGTATGTATGTATGTATGTAATGTATGTATGTATGTATGTGTGTAATGTATGTTTGTAATGTATGTATGTATGTATGTATGTATGTATGTATGTATGTATGTATGTATGTATGTATGTATGTATGTATGTAATGTATGTTTGTATGTATGTAATGTATGTATGTATGTATGTATGTATGTATGTATGTATGTATGTATGTATGTATGTATGTATGTATGTATGTATGTAATGTATGTAAGTATGTAATGTATGTAATGTATGTATGTATGTATGTATGTATGTATGTATGTATGTATGTATGTATGTATGTATGTATGTATGTATGTATGTATGTATGTAAAGTATGTATGTATGTATGTATGTATGTATGTATGTATGTATGTATGTATGTATGTATGTATGTATGTATGTATGTATGTATGTTTATGTATGTATGTATGTATGTATGTATGTATGTATGTATGTATGTATGTATGTATGTATGTATGTATGTATGTATGTATGTATGTATGTAATGTATGTATGTAATGTATGTATGTATGTATGTATGTAATATGTATGTATGTATGTATGTATGTAATGTATGTATGTATGTATGTATGTATGTATGTATGTAATGTATGTATGTATGTATGTATGTATGTATGTATGTATGTATGTATGTATGTATGTATGTATGTATGTATGTATGTATGTATGTATGTATGTATGTATGTATTGTATGTATGTATGTATGTATGTATGTATGTATGTATGTATGTATGTAATGTATGTAATGTATGTATGTATGTAATGTATGTAATGTATGTATGTAATGTATGTAATGTATGTATGTACGTATGTATGTATGTATGTATGTATGTATGTATGTATGTATGTATGTATGTATGTATGTATGTATGTATGTATGTATGTATGTATGTATGTATGTATGTATGTATGTATGTATGTATGTATGTATGTAATGTAATGTATGTATGTATGTATGTATGTATGTATGTAATGTAATGTAATGTAATGTATGTAATGTAATGTAATGTAATGTATGTATGTATGTATGTATGTATGTATGTATGTATGTATGTATGTATGTATGTATGTATGTATGTATGTATGTATGTATGTATGTATGTATGTATGTATGTATGTATGTATGTATGTATGTATGTATGTATGTATGTATGTATGTATGTATGTATGTATGTATGTATGTATGTATGTATGTATGTATGTAATGTATGTATGTATGTATGTAATGTATGTATGTATGTAATGTATGTATGTATGTATGTATGTATGTATGTATGTATGTATGTATGTATGTATGTATGTATGTATGTATGTATGTATGTATGTATGTATGTATGTATGTATGTATGTATGTATGTATGTATGTATGTATGTATGTATGTATGTATGTATGTATGTATGTATGTATGTATGTATGTATGTATGTATGTATGTATGTATGTATGTATGTATGTATGTATGTATGTATGTATGTATGTATGTATGTATGTATGTATGTATGTATGTATGTATGTATGTATGTATGTATGTATGTATGTATGTATGTATGTATGTATGTATGTATGTATGTATGTATGTATGTATGTATGTATGTATGTATGTATGTATGTATGTATGTATGTATGTATGTATGTATGTATGTATGTATGTATGTATGTATGTATGTATGTATGTATGTATGTATGTATGTATGTATGTATGTATGTATGTATGTATGTATGTATGTATGTATGTATGTATGTATGTATGTATGTATGTATGTATGTATGTATGTATGTATGTATGTATGTATGTATGTATGTATGTATGTATGTATGTATGTATGTATGTATGTATGTATGTATGTATGTATGTATGTATGTATGTATGTATGTATGTATGTATGTATGTATGTATGTATGTATGTATGTATGTATGTATGTATGTATGTAATGTATGTATGTATGTATGTATGTATGTATGTATGTATGTATGTATGTATGTATGTATGTTATGTATGTATGTATGTATGTATGTATGTAATGCAATGTAATGTAATGTAATGTAATGTAATGTAATGTAATGTAATGTAATGTAATGTAATGTAATGTAATGTAATGTAATGTAATGTATGTAATGTAATGTATGTAGTGTATGTAATGTAATGTAATGTAATGTAACGTAATGCAACGTAATGTAATGTAATGTATGTATATATATATATTCATATGTACATATATATATATAGATACAGGGTTGGGCCGCTCACTGTTCAAACAAGAGTGGGTGTGCGCGCGCATGTGTGTGTGTGTGTGTGTTTGGTGTGTGGTGTGTGATGTGGGGTGCGTGGGGTGTTGTGTGTGTTGGTTGTGTGTGTATGCGGAGTGTGTTCTGTGTTCTTGTTGTGTGGTTGTGCGGTTGTGTGGTTGTGTGGTTGTGTGTTTGTGTGTTTGCGTGTTTGCGTGTGTGTGTGTGTGCGCGCATGTGTGCGCGCGTTTGTTTTTTTGTTGAGGGTCCCTATTGCGGCGGTTTCAAGGGAAACCAGAAGCAACACCACATTGGGGACCCCTACACACGCACATGCTGGACTAATTGTTTAGCCAACCTCCTAGTTCCTCTTAGGGGTCCAATGGAAGCAGAGTGGAGTGGAAGACTTTCCTTTTGTTGAAGCCCCAAAATGTCCACGAGCCCACGAGCAAGTCGGAAAGAGGGTAAGCTATTTGAATGTTGGTTAAAATCTCAGAAACTAACGATCCGCAACAAATCACACATTGATGGTTGTCTTCCAAAGCCCTTCTGACACCATGCGCCAGTTGTTCTATCCTGCTGAGTTTGCCTTGAGGGGACTCCGGGGAGATACTTGGCCATCCCAATCACAAAGGGACACTGCTGTAGCTTGTTCCCCAAGGACACCTGTTTGTCCATTTGGGTTTGTGTTTATGCACCCCCCAAAGCTGGGTGGTGTCCTTTTGGTTTCTTTGCAAGTCCAAAAATCATACCCGGGGTGTCTTAGGACTATGGGCCTTTGTCGGTGATGCTGCAGCTTTTCACCAGGCCAGTCGATACCTCAAGCCGTTGGTTTCAATGATCCGTCGGTGGTGTCCTGGTGTTTTCCCTCCGAATGCCAACCCAAAGGGATCCACGATTTTGAGAGCTCGTTTTCAGTGGTATAGTTCACGATTTACTCCGCAGCTCAACATGGAGCCCAAACCCGATCACTCTTTCGGTTCCATAATAATTTGGAATCCAGTGCCATTTATAGGCCACTGCAGTTCCATGTTTACACGACTAGCGCCTTATAGCGTGAATATTGGAAACGAAAGACGAGAACACCGCAGAACATCTCAGGTTCCGATTGAATCAAGGGCGTTTTCAGGATCCTGGAGATGATGTACTACTTATAGAAGGACATATACTGCCTTACAGAAGCATACCTCCAAAAAACAAATGCCCTTGATTAAACAGTTTTGCCCTTGAGGGAATGGACTTCATTGGGGTTATTTTTGCTATGCAGCCACTGAAGGTTTGCATTGGCATGTTGTTTTTGCTAGCGTCGCCACTTGCAACCCAGATAAATTTGCGGCTTATAGTGCCATGCCTGACTGCCAGCTTTGGTTCGAATGTTTATGCTTGTGAGGACTGTCGTCTGGCCCATGATCCAGTCTTTGCCCCTCATTTCGCCATTTGTCCTTGGACCCTGCAGTCTCTGTTTGATTTGGTGGCGCAGTCGCGCGATTTCTTTGTTTAGCTTTGTTGCTTCGATTGTTCCTTTGAAGACGCATTTGTGGCTGTCCCTCACCTGCTCGAGAGCTGGCAGCCAAGAAGGGTGCTGCCAGACAGCGCAACAAGAGCAGTATGCTCGAGCCACCCCTAAATCTGGAGAAATGCAAAACAAAAAACCGTAGCGGTTGTCAAACTTCAAGAATTCAATGCTTCAAAAACGCGCAAGATGCGGGAATGAACCTGGGGGTTCCCTTCAAAACCGCCAGTTGGATTGTTTAATTCTTTAAATCGGGGTCATTCCATTGCTCCTTCCCACCGGCAAGTTGAGTTAAATGGGCGATAGATGCTCGAGTCCCTGTGCTGTTGGGCCCTCGGAGGCGATAAAAAATTCGAGGGCCCATCCGGAAGGGGTCGTGGAACCACCCCTTGCCTCTAATAAGCAGCTTGCGGTTCCTAGGAAGGTCATGCCAGGGAGGATTCAACATGGGTGCTTCCCCGCAGTTTCTCTAATTATATGGGTCTGTCGTTTTTCGAAAGACCCCTGTTTTTGTGGTTTTAAGGGGAAGCCAAGAGGAAAACCATCAGAGCCATTCCTATTCCCGATTCCAACCAACAAATTGGAGGTTGATATCCACTATTGGCCTAAGCAGTTTCATCATCTCAATTGGCCCAACCATTAGAACGGGGGTTGAACCCCACAGTACTGATCAAGATCTGTGAGCCAAATGACCAGCCTTCAGATCCTGACCGGAAGTTCATCTCAACGGTCAACCATTCGGGTGGAACCCTACGGACCATTCGGATGACAGGCCGCGGCAGCTGTACCTGGTGCCAGCCACCGCTTTCTACCCCCAGCCCGGGCCCCAAAGCGAAAAACATGAGCTCAGGTGATATGCCCAACAGCCTGCGGTGCTCTTTTTAGTGCTCGCACCACCCCGCAGCCCTCGCAGAACCTTGTGGAACCCTGGTGGAACCCTGGTGGAACCCTGGTGGAACCCTGGTGGAACCCTGGTGGAACCTTACCTCAGGGCCGCCCCGGACCACCCCGGAGCCTATGTGGGCTGAGACCCCAAAGCTTTCAGCTGTTGGGAAAAACAGGTGTTGGTACCCTTTATGGCGTGGTGCTAGGGAAAGCCAAGAGGAAGCCCATTTGTTTTCCTTGAAGTTCTGTTAAGACAAACCCATATGTTTTCTGGACACTGAATTCCGCCGATCGGATCAGGGGCAAGATTGCGAACATGTTCCGCTTTGTTCAAGGTCATGTTCAACTCAACAAATGCCCATATTGTTTAACCGACAGCACAAACGCTTACATTATCACCGCGGTGCGGTGATACAAATATATATATACATATATATATATGCTTAATGTTTATATGTTGCACAACAGCATTTGCGTAGGCCATTTAGGACTTCCCTCTTGCTCTGGAGGGGCTTGTTTGTTGGAGATTGCACGTTTTCCGTTTTGCCGTCGGCCCAGGGCTTTTAAGCTTTGCTCTCGCCGTCTTCTGGAGTGTTCGGAGTGAGTTTGTACTGAAGGGTGCGGACGACGTTCAAAGGTCATATATGGGAACCCAGCATTGATAAACCCTTGGTTAGTTAATGAGTAAGAATCGGTTAGCACATGAATCCTGCCCCTTTCAAGCGGGCAAAGCACCACTTCCGGGGCGCAACACGGACAAATACGCCAATCCGGGGTCCACATTGCTGAAGAGCAGCATGCCACATGCAAAGATCGGCAAGGCGCGCAAAAGAGATGTCGATTCCACAGACGCAAACCGAGTTGGCACCGAACGAATGTGTCCTGAAAAGTGGGGGGCACCTGAAGACCTTTACTTTGGTGCGTTTTGCTTGTATGTTAGGGCTGTAGCTTTTTGCCAACTAATGTGTTTTCCATTAAGCCACTAAAAGTTAAGCTTTTAGGGGAGCAGAAAGCAAAAAAAAAACGAGTTTACAACTGGTGTTCCTTGGGTTATCCCCACCCAAATGGCATCCATGCATTGGGGTCTGCAAGTCAAACTGCACACTCCGATCTGAGGCCCAAAGTGACCAGTGCCATGGTGGAGTTGGATTTCCTGGCACCTCAGCCCGATGAAAGGGGGGCCCCGATGGTCGGGTCTCAATCTTTGTTCCTTTTCTGGGGCCGCCTCCAGAACTATTTTTCTACAGGGCAGAAGAGAAATGGAACAGAATCAGAATATCTGATGTATGTGTGCTCTAGATGTTGACCAAGTAAAGCGGGCGGGGCATTTGGAGGGGTTCTCAAAATTACTTTTGTGGGTTGGAAGCTCCTTTGGACGGTCATTTGGACGACAGTTTTTGAGGATGTCACTTTAATGAATCTAGTGGTGTGTGTGTCTCAGGACGCAACTCACGGAACCACCAGCAATTTTCTGGTACCATCCATTTTGAGGAACGCAGTCTCCTTTTGGTTTGGGTTGCCTCCCTTTTTGCCGCGAAGCCCACCAGCCAGATAGTCCATTTTAGACGAAATGGTCTAAACTCGAACCGCCCCCGCAGTCGGGTTCCCTGTTCGATGGGCACCAAAGGGTGTTGGGTCCATTTTTAGTTTTAGGAGAGGGGCCCACGCCTATAGAGTGTGTCAGTCGGGTTAAGATTTGGTTTGGCAAGGAATTGGGTCAACATCCGGAAGCGGAGAGAATACTTCCGTGTGACCAAGGTGCGGCTTGAGCCTTTTGCTCATGTTCATTTTGAGTTTCCAGGATGGCAAAGATGTCCCCATTGGTGAGCTGAAACCAAGTGCTTACCAGGGGTTCTAGGCATGGCCAAAGTACTGATAAAATAGGGACGAAACCATCACAAGCAAGTTCTTGTTGAAGTTTGCAGAAGCAAGTCGAGATTTACCTGAGATCCAACGATTAAAAGGCAGGTCGTCTCTCACTGAACCAGGGATCATATTTCGTGAAGTTGCTGGAAGGGAAGGGCTTCGGCATTGCGCTTGGTTTTCCGGCTCTCGTTCGAGGCCGCGCACTTGCAAGATAGACTATGGTGTGTCGCTGCAATCACACGGAACACCGTGTGGTCGGCCGTGGAAACTGTTTGCAATGACAGGGTATGTATTGTTTGTAGCAAGGTGTCATCCGTCACAAGGTTAAATTGTAAACTGATAATTCTTCTCCCACAGACTGACGATTCAACGTGTTTGCCATGACTGCGCCCAGCAAAAATACTTTCTTTTATATCATACGTCGCTATGCCGCTTACATCTTATTCTCAATTCTGGGGCGCTCTCAAAGCCAGCCATGCTGAAAGACAAGCAAGCCACGAAAAGACCGGCTGTTTGCCGTCTTCGCAAGGCTGGGATAGTGTCAGCCAAGAAACCATTGGGGACACCGGGCATTTGGAGTGAGCCAAGCGTTGCAGCTGCATTACACCTTCAGCCTTCGGCTCAGAACGGGGAGGATACTAGATATATCTCCCGATTTCTTGGCAACCGGTTCTGAACGAGCTCGCCTGGTGAAGCTCCTCTATGCTTGGGGGTCTCACATTTCAGGTTACTCGAAGGATTATTTGTTGGTTCCATGTTGACCCGAGTACCCCATTTCAGAGAGCCTGCAGCCCAATTGTCCCCCAAAGTTTTCTCAGCCATTTCACGCACTGCAGTTCAGAAGGTTGTGGGCCTTTTCGCAAGAAAAGGATTCTTGAACCGGGAGGATACCAGTTGTTCAGTGGCACCCTTTGTTCCCTCTTTTGTTAGGTGAGTTCCCCACCAAAAGTTGTCAATCCCAAGAAGACTTGGGTGTGTCAATTCGAGGGTACCTCCATTTTGAGGCTTCCATTGATTCCCTCTTCCGTTCGGGTCAGATGCACCTGGCCTCGGTGGTTTTTCTGGGCGACGCTTGCCGGAGGCTGAGGAGGAGATGCCTGAGGCTCCGGAGCATGCGATGGCTGGTTGTTCCACGAAAAGTCGATCCCAAAGTTGGCGGATCCCAACCAGGTGTCCCAGTGCTTCTCTCCCCCTTTTTGGTTGGGAGATTCGGTTCCCCGAACATGGACTGCAGAAAAAAATCGGGTACCCTTATTCTAAGCTCTTTACTGGAGATAGCCAAAGAAAAAGAAAGACCAGTACCCGGGTCCCAGCCACTGCTTTGTGGTTAGCGTACCAGGGATCCATATTTTGATACCTCGTAGGGATTCAAGTCAGAAACTCGGATCGGCAACCTGCCACTTAGGTGATATCGATTTTTGTAACATGGCACCACTGGGAAGCCAATAGCAAGCCAGGCCATTTGGACGGGCGGGGCGGAGCAACGGAGATGAGCTGGAAGATTCTCAAGGGGGGTACTTAGTTGGAGGTTCGTAGTCGTGTGGGAATAAGTTGCAAGACACGAATTGGGATTGAGCCATGATACAAATGGTTGCACAATCTTGCTTTACAAGTCATGATGCATGCAAACTTGAGCAGTGTGCATTGATTCGAGGGTACACGTGGGTACACTAAGGGGTCAGTGTCAGTGTCGATTGGTGAGAGTGCCAGATTGCATGTTTGTCATCATTTAGAACACTGAATCCCCTCCTCACCCTTGAACTGTTTGCTTGATGTCAAAGGAACTCTTTCCCGCAGAGCCAAGTCCATCCATTCTCACAAGATTGCCACCTGCAGGAGCAACTTCTGCATGCCCTTAAGATAGCTTGACACGGTCCATCCCAGTTTTGGACAGGGTATAACATGTTTCCCTCAACCTTTTGAGCCAGCAATGACTCTGACTCGGGCTTGCATTCACTTTCAATTGTGGGGCAGCCCTATAGGTTTGTGACTCCATTGGTTCGAGAGTGGTTCGGGTGGCTCAGGTGTTCGTTTTGGGATCGCCTTTTTGGAAGGGACACCAAGGTGATGTTATGCTTCCATCTGGATCCATCTGTCGAACGTCCTTGTGGCTCCGAGCTCACATCCTCTCCTTGCAATTTGGCAGCGTTCTACTTTGTTTGTTCAACCCCAATCCTGAATCCTCCGGTTACAAAAACGTCCCCTTTCTAGTCGTCTTCCAATAGGGATTGTGGATCAGCATTGCCCAACTATACAATTGCCAAAAACACCAAAGCAATAAAACGAGTTCTTTTTCTTGCTTGAGTTGAACAAACACACGACTGCCAGGCATTTGTTTTAAAATTTTGACGAAAAGAAAAAACAACAAGTAAAGATGCCCAGCACTCCATTTCCACCAGCCCCAGCCGATTTTTGGGCCCACCCATCCCCGCAGGTGGACAGCGCCATGCTGCTGGAGGTGGTCAAGGAGTGTTTCCGCCAGCCCGGGTCCCACCTGGGGCCCTTACCGTCTCAAGCGCTGCGATTCGAATCGCGTAATGAAAAAGACAAAATCCTTTTTGCGCGTTCCGTCATCCGTCATCGCGTAAGGAATCGCTTCATCGCGTAACGTCGAATCTGCTCTTTTTGTTTGACGTCCTTGTGAAACAACATGCTGAGTAGATGAAGCGCAGAGTCTCAAGCAGAACTAGATGCGGATATCCGGCCTTTTGATCCCTTCTATGAGTTTTGGGTAGCCTGCTTCAATATCAGGTTTTGCTGGTGAGTCAGGTTCGCTTGGTGTCTTTTAGGATTGGTTTTGGAGCGCGCCAAACCACCGAAACTCGCCCACAACTCACTTAACCACACCTAAAGCAACCCTAAAGCCGCTGCTAAACCAGTAGCACACCTAACTCAAATCAGCTCCAAGCCAACAGATCTGAGCCAGCCAAAAGGCCCCCTAACTTAAACCAGCCCCCAGCAACTCCCAACTCCCACCCAAGCAGAGCCAATAGGCAACCCCAGGTCCAAGTGATGCTGGTGATTCCGGGGATGTTGCCAGCCGTGCGAACAACCAGCCCTGGGGACAAAACCAGCCCTAGGAAAAGAAACACCCTTACATCATGGGACTCACTCCCTGGCCTAGTAAAAAAGAAAAAACGGACAAAAAGAGACCACCTCTACCTTGAAACAACCTGATGGTGAGGGTTCGGTTTCCATAGCATAGGGCCCCGGATTGAACTCCTCGAGGCGTACTAGAGCCTGAATGAATGAGTAGTGAGCCAAATTATGGGATGTATAGGTCAAGGGGGGCACCCAAAATGGCTTTCCTTTTCGTGCCCCTTTAAACCAAGCTGAAACAGTACTCTCAAATTCACTCTCAAAAGAACGCACACCCATGTGTGCAATTATTCCGTTCCTTTGCCCAGAGCAGAGCAACTTACTCAGGACTCTACTGTCCAAAGGACTTTCTAAGTATAAGGGGCTACAGAATGACACGCAAACTCCTTGTGATCGTGGCTTAGTTTAGTTTAGTTGTACCCCGGAGCCCCATTACATGATGGCTTATCAGTACGGCGTACAACTGTGGTACAACCGTGAAAGTCCTCCGCATTTGCAGGAATGGAATCACAGGCAGATGCGAGCACGCACCCGAGCCAAGCACAGCGAACCGTAGCGTTGAGTCATCCATTGCAGGAGTCGTTGATTTGCAGCTCTTGGATTTCAGTCTGCAAACTTTGAGATGGCCGACTCTGAAGTAGACTTAGGATACATTTAGCTTTTTACCAGTGACTCAAAGGGAAGCAAACAATAGAACATAAATCCTATAACTGGGCCCAAGTCCAATCATGGACTTTGGTATCGCAAGGGCGCTTTTCCACAACCAATGAACTGCAGCAACGAATCACTCGGATGTTCCGTGTGTGTTTTTGTCAACGTGGAATGATTCGCATCCAATTGCCCGTTCGGTTCGCTTTGGACATCCAAGCCGGGCCAGCCTAAAGGCTCATTCGGAAGTCAACGTCCAACCACAAACCGATTCCTGGTGGCCACTTCAATAGCTGGTTCTAGTACCTGATTTCATAATGGGCCTTTATGACCATCTTGGTAGAATCAAAAGTCAATGCTCCTTTGGAGGCCTGCCCTTGCTGGGTGTCTATGTGATGTATGACTCACGCAGGGTCGCTGGTGAACGAATCTGGGAAGCAAGTTTTGAAGCTGGGTCATTTGTTTCAACCACCGATTTTGGTTCATCCTAATTGTAAAGAGGCACATTGCGTTTACAGTCGTGGTTAGACCACCCCGTCCCTAATTGTAACCCTTCCCGAACCGCCCTGCTCTTTTCGCAGAGCCCTACCGCACCCCGAAACCCGAAACGCGCCTGAGAAACGAGGCGCAAGAGGGCGCTGAGACACAGCCTCAAGGCCTACCTTCAGCAGCGGCGGCTGGCGCGAAGCCGGCGGTTTGAACGGGCGGAACAATGGCTTCACGGTTCTTGGCATGCTTTTTGGTTTTTTAGTTGTTTGGTTCTGTTCATTTTTACTAGGGGGCAGCAAACAACAAAGTTTTTTGCTTCCATACCAAGGGTAGAGATGATGGGTTGGCTGTCACCCGCAGAAGTGTTTCGGATTACCACTACACGACCCCGTGGATGGATAAATCCCGCATCAGTTGGGATGGATGAAACGAAGGCCGGGATAAATCACCGACCAACTGGTGCAGAATGTTGCCCATCCAAAGTATTAGTTTGACATTATTTTGGCAACTGGAAGCACAGTAAGCTGGTTTCAATGGTATGGTATCCCGTTTCAAGGGATACCCAAAAGTGCCCAGCAACACCCAAGGGAAAAGAGGGCTGACCATGTTTGAAAGCAACTTGCTGATGCAGTTACCTTCGTTTTCTCTCCTGTGTCATTTTCGTACACGGAGCTTGCTTGTTTTGACTAGTTTACAATGAGGCTCGGTCAAAATAGCTCTCTAATTGTTCCAACGATAGCCTCATATTTTGGACCGTCGCTGTGATTCAAACAGGCCAAAAAGGTGCCACGCTTCGGAGAACGGCTTTTGTTTGCCGCGCTTCGAATGACGGCTTGTGTCAAGCAATATCCATCCATGTCAAGTCAGTGTGCAACTCAGCAGGCGGGACAGTAGATTTACACGTATGTTTGAATCAATACGCATATTTGTTGCGATACGAAGAAGAGAAGCTCTTGACAGTGCGGCAACTCCCCCGTTTGGCGCAACATGTTGGCCAATACGCATTCGGGGCCATAGCAAGGTATTTTCACGGCTGTTTCCCGCAACCAACTGTTTTCCGGGCTTCCCCAGCTTCAACCAACAAGCCAACATACCCAACAAGAGACACAAGTTGTGGTAAGATGGGGGTTGGATTGAGCAAGTTGTCCTCTATGTTTCGCTTTGGCCAACCAAACCAAACTGTTTCCGGTTTTTTTCTAACCAAACCAACAGGATAACCAACAAGATAACCAACAAGATCACCAACATACCCAGTCAAAGACACACTAAACCAAGTCGTTGATTCGCCAGGCTTCCGGCGCGCTGGGCGAAGCTGCGGGCGGAGCGCCTGAAGCCAGGGGAGTTTCTGGAACTCGCGAGGCCTGCCACTGGACCGGGTGCTTCGCCGAGTGGAAGGAACTTATGGAAACTGGCAAATGGCGCCAAAAGGTAATGTGATTTTTTCAGAGCCCGTATTTATCCCTGCACCTTTTGAGGTCATGTCGTTTTTTCAGTGCTTCTATGTAAAACCCAGCAATTTTTTGGTGATTGGTAGGGTCTTCGGAGGTGTGTTCAACATGTTTGAAGTGTCCAGTGTTCTGGGAAGGAAGTAGCGAGCTCACCGATACGGGGAAAAAACCCAATCGAAGCACCCCATGATGAAGGTTCCTTACTTATGGATTCCTTATTTCTTTTTTATTTTATTTTTAAAGACATGACCTTGAACACGGCCTAGACGGTCTCTGCATAAGGAGCGCTGTGTTTTCAACCGCGGGGGGGGGGGGGGGGTGCAACTTTTCAACCCTTGTTTGCGCTTCATGTTTTGATTGCTTTTGGGCTTGTTTGGTTGGTTGGCTTACAGAGTTCTAGACCATTGCATTCGGAATGTTGGGTCCCGAGATGGAGCTCGTGTGTCCAGCCCCTTGAATGGGATGTTGATAAGCACGAGCAGTGGAGCCTATGGCTCCCTTTCGCCATAGGCATGTTCAAACTGTTTGTCATGGGGGAAGCGGTGCTTGCAGATTGGTGAGGGACTGCTGTTGGTCTAATATATGTCAAGTCGGTGTGTCGCATGTTTCACATCCAAGAAGTCCCAGTATCCGCCGAAACTGGTGAGGCAGCGACCCAAACTGGAGCTAACAGTAGCGGGCAATGCCCAAAATTGCGAACGAGCAGCTTGCATGGGCAAGACAGCCGGAAGTCCTAGCTTTATTTTGGCTTGTGCTTTGCGAACAGCACATGGGCGTCTCGGTTTTCTTATGTGTGTCCCTTTAGGAGCTGATGGAATCGGGTAGCCCGAAGAAAGGGACACGGTTGCCTCGGCAATGCGATGCCTCCAGAGCACCAGAAGCAACTGTTGAATACAATTTCTACTGTAGCAGAAATGCATTTCCCTTCGTCACATGTGTATATCTATTTGCCTATCTACCTATCTACCTATTGCTTGACCCCGCTATCTATCTGAATCTAATCTCATCCATTCTATCCGAATCGAGTCTAATCTTTCTATGTATCTATGTATCTATTTATCTATTCAGCCAGCCAGCCAGCCAGCCAGCCAGGCATGCATGCATGCATGCATGCATGCATGCATCCATCCATCCATCCATCCATCCATCCATCCATCCATCCATCCATCCATCCATCCATCCATCCATCCATCCCTCCATCCCTCCATCCCTCCATCCCTCCATCTATCCATCTATCCATCTATCCATCTATCCATCTATCCATCTATCCATCTATCCATCTATTCATCTAGCCATCTATCTAAAGTATCTAACTTATTTGTATGCGTGATTGTATACATGGGATGCGTATGACATGCGGGTTCGCGCACATGTTTCTCTGAGTAGGCCTGTCGATGTGAGAGCTGCGCGTTCGTGGCTCAAGGGCGGATGCGACAATGCGAACAATCTGGCAACGGCCTTAGGCTTGGACATGGCAAACATATATCCTAGGGTAAGTCATAGAAATCGCCTCGGCGGGGACGTGGAACCGGAAAGACAGGTCTGAAGAAAAGTCAAAGGCCTGTTTGACAACAGAGGAGCTTGCAGACGGACCTCAGAGGCGGCGGCTTACTTCGCACCTTGCATGCCTTTCTTGGAATGCTTGAAATCGGCTTTTTGCTTTGACTCTCAGCAAATCGGTGGCTCCCATTTCCCGTTGTGCTGTTTTGCAGAATAAACGCTGAAAGTTCCCACAACTTGGCATCCCAGCGGCGAGCAACTCACTTCAGCGACCCCAGCCAAGCGCCATGTTCAAGAAAGCCGCGCAGCTCATCCGGAAGCAGAAAACGGCGACCGAAGCTTTCCAGGAAGCAAGTTCTGCTGCAGTGCCTTGGAAAGCGTGCTGTTACTCTGCAGCGCATTTGGCGCATAATGAACGTGTTTTGGGCCTGCAAGTTGGCTTGTTGACTTGTTGGCCTGTTGGCTGCGTGTCTTTTTGTTGTGTTTGGTTGTTTGAATGTTCATTTGTTTGTTTGTTTGTTTTGCGCTTATATTGGTGTTGTTTGTTTGTTTTGCTTGATTGTTTGTTTGTTTGCTTCCTTGCTTCCTTGCTTGCTTGCTGGTGCGCGAACACACGAACACCTGTAGAACTCTTTGCTTTTTGAGCATCTTGCTACACCTTTGACCACAGTGCAGGGGATTGGCCATGGCTGTGAAATCAAATTGGACACACGCTCACAAATGGGTATGTATCAATCTAAGGGTTTGAAATCAAATTGGACACACGCTCACAAATGGGTATGTATCAATCTAAGGGTTTGGAGCCCCAACAAGAGTGGCTTCCTTTTGGTTTTCCCTTCAAACCAAACCCAACAAGGGGATGCTCTAAACAGGCCATCTTAGTTGCAACTTGACCCTATTGACTGAGTCCTGAGGTCTCACGCTTTTTGATGGCAAGGGCCTTAGCTCAACCATAACCAACATAAGCGAAGTGGCTGACATACCCCTGTGAATGTATTTGACCAGGTTTCGGCCACATGCAGCCACAATCAAAGACCGGCAAGGGATCACCCCATAAAACGGTTCGGATATCCACCCGTTTGATTCGAACCCTTGATACCAAGTTGTGATTTTGTCTCAAGTGTGTTTCTTTCTGTTTTCCTTTTCAATCAAGGCTTCTTGGGCTTCCCCAAAAAATGACACACCTTACGCACCTTTGTGCACGGTTTCCAACCTGCCAATGGAGTGCTGCGTGATTGCCCTGTGAACCACCATTTACCTTGGCCGCTATTTGGTTGCATCTTTGGACTCCATTTGTTGTGGAAATTATCTGCTTTTCTTCTACTCACCAGCGAAGAGTTCTGCTTGAGGGGGATTCGTCCATCCAGGCAGAGGATTTTGAGGATGAGGATTATGTTTGTTTCACCCAGCACTCGGACCCCTGAATTCTATTAAACGGAGATTGCGGAATGTGGACGACACCTGTTCCAAACTGTTCCTGTTGTTTGGCTGTACCTTTCCAGGGGTTTTGGTTTTGATTCAGATGGACCCTCGGTTGGATTGTGTTTAAAGAGAATCCAACCTTGTTGTCCTATTTTGAGAACCAAGTTGTCTGTGTGTGTGTGTGTTTTTGGGTGGGTGGCTTCCAAGAGAAACCAACAACAATCCAATCAAACCACCAATACAAACACGCACAGCATGGGGAAACCAAGAAAACTCCAATAAAACCAAGAAACAAACAAACTGCACGGGGAACCGAGAAAAGACACCATGTTTGTTGCGCCCCAGGTGTCCCCAGACAACAAGCCGGGCCGAACCTTGGACCTCAGCGGTGACTCCGCCGCGGCTCAAGCTGCGCGGGCCCTGCAGAGCGTGCTGGACGGAGATGAGGCCACGAACGATGCGAAGATCACGGCCCATGAGGACGAGCGCTTCATGACTCAGACATGGGCTTCCCTGGGTCCCGAACCAACGGGCCTTAAGATTCTTGGTGGCTCCCAGCCATCCCCTCTGCTTTTTAGCCTTTTTGTGTTTAGTGGTAGTTTCCACGTAACCCACTAAAAATTAAACTTTTTAGCGGGGGAGGCTGTGGGTCAAAACCAGTGGTACCATTTTGGGATAGGTGCACCACCAATTTTAGAACCTATTTTAGTGGGGATTGGGATGTTCACTGGGGGTACATGGTTTTGACCCATGGCCACATAGGCTACCCGGGTCCCGAACCAACGGGCCTTAATATGAAGGCCCCGGTGATTCATCCAATCTAGGAAGTACGATGTAACCTTGGTTGCAACCATGCTAGACGAACCCAGAGTTGCCCAAGGCAGAACCATGACCTACCTGACATTGGTCCTTTGGGACAAGCCTGTCGCGGACCTTTGAGTTAGGCAACCACTACTCGGGTCTCCTTTTGGCGAGTTTAGACAACCACTAGGGTTCCTCTTTAGGGAACGGATGGTAGAAAGGATGATTTAAAGGGTGGATGGTAGACACAATTTTGGCTTCACACTGGGTATTCTTAGGTCGACGTTTCTGGACGGCTCCAAATTGGGGGGGGTCCCCAAAATAGTTGGTGGGTTGTGCAGTTTTTTTGGTTGCCAGCTTCTGCGAAACCAACCAAGCCCCCTTTAAAGTGCCAAAGTAGTCATGGGCTCGGGAGTCCTTCAATGGTATCATAAAATTGGCTATTTCCAACCATGTCCTTTTCTGTTTGGACATACTCAAGCGGCTTCTCCCAACAAAGGAGCCACACCCGTATTTGAGATCTCCCTGGAGGTCAAAGACCCTGAACAACCGGTCCACCAGTTGCACTGTCATTTTCTCCGTTTTGTAAGGCTATCATGCTCGCCTTGGTTTAAAGGAACACCAAAAGGAACACCGACATATTTGGGCTCCATATATGCAAATTGGTTTTCTTTTGCATTTGTTCTTCACGTGTTTTCTTCCTTCCTTCTTTTCTGTCTTTCTTTGTGTATGTATTTCTTTATTTCTTTGTTTATGTCTTTCCTGCTTTATTTGGTTCTTTGATTGGTTGTTTGTGTAATGCGTTGTTCTGTACTTTTAGTGCTTGACCGTGGCACCTGTTTTGCAATGTCCAACTGAACCAGAGCCCTAAACAGGGAAAGCCATGTGACTTCCTTGCAGAGACCCTGCATCTGCTGAATCCCGGGCGTTGTCAATGGACCTTCCGGGCCGCGAGCCACAAATTGTATGATGCAGAGCCACAGCAAGGGGAGCCTAAAACAGTCAGTGTTCATGACGATTGCGGGCCACGCCCATATATAAGTGACGGTTCGACCAGATCAGCGATTTTTCGTTTGTTCTTTGAGTGCGAATAGGTGGGTAAATGAGTGAGTGTGAGTGAGTGTGAGTGAGTGGGCGCGAGTGAGTGAGTCCCAGTATGATTACTCCGGAAACGATCAGTCCTTCCTC